CTGTAGGGGAGACCTCGCGAAGATGACTAATGAGGCTTATCCGGGCTGAAATAAAGTCGACAGAATTGCTTAGTCTGTTGGCCATCAACTTCCTATGGGAAACCATGACTGGCTCCTGTGGGGACAGCCTTACTCCGAGGTGCCTGTCGCCAAGCTGCTAGTTGTTAAGGTCGTTCTACTGCTGCCTATTCTGCATTGACATGAATACGTCAAGCTGCTCCCATGCTCACATCTGGAAATTCATGCTTCATCTGATGGAACTGTCACACTTCGATCCCGATGGGAACTACTAATGGCTCTACCGCGGGGAGAGGGGCGTTCACATGCGGTAGCGGGGTATTTATCTGGGGCACTAGGGATGTTGAGCTCGGCCTAAACTTGTCTGATTGTCACGGAAGAGTTCTCTAGGTTCATCATAGATGTTTTTTCCCCCTAGTAATCAGTATTCGCTCTGGGTGTTGGTGCTGCTCAAAAGTTCCTTTGAGTTCATAAAAATGGAAATTATAAAGTGAGAACTTTAATTTCTAAAAGGTGAGATCTTTAGTTTTCTAGAAGATGAGAGCCTTTTAGAAGGTGAGAACTTAGCTTCTTGTAGTGTTTCCCATAGATGGTGCCAATTGATGAAGCATGTTTTTTGGTAGCACCCTGTTGTTCAGACTACTTCCAGGTGGCCGATGACTCAGAGGCCGAAGTGGAGGATTTTTGCTAAATGAGGACTTGGATGCCGAGCTGGGGGTAGATTGGGTGCCGAGCTAGGTTGATTGCCAAGATGGGTAACTCTTCAGAGAAACCTGCAAGGAATCAATGTTAGAGGACCCGAGGTGGCTAACACGACGAGGTCGCTCCAATGCCTGTCAATATTGTGTTGTCTTGGTTGAGAGCTGAAAGCTTGAGTGTAGAGAGAGCTAGTGAGCAAATAATTGCGCGTACATTTTCGTGTCATTAGGTTGGTGCCTTTATATAGGCTTTGTTTGGCGTGGGCTTCACGCACCGCATCCGAGATTTCCGGGAGGTCGCCTAACCAGTTTGAGATCCCCATAGGTAACTGCCGCGTACGTTGGCCATCCTCCAAAACACTCGATACGTGGGCCAACTTCCAAGAAACTTGGGAGTGTCAGGATATGCATACCGAATTTTTTGGCGAGAACAACTCGCAGGTCACCTCCTAGACGTCAGTTAGGTCGGCAAACCCTCGAGGGAAGTCGCTCCTCGCGTTGAGGTCACATCGACCAGTGATGAGGTGCTACAAGTCGGCCCTAGATGAGGTGCTTCTAGTCGGCCTAAGTTGTTGTTGAAGTTGCTAGGTTGGCTGTAAAAACAGGTCGCCAGGTCGGGGCGAAGACGAACTATGATCTGAGACTCCAAATCATCGCCTAAGTGATGTATAGGTGTCATCCAGTTATTTCGAGATGCCATTTGTCATAATGTCATTGGAGAGCCAAATCCACGCTCATCACGAATTATTTGTAATAGAAGGGGTAATTGTACATATATTACCAATTGGGTATTTTCTAAATGGAGACTGGATACTTCATTTTATTGGTCCAACAAAGTTAACCATAAATTATTCTAATTGATAATATTAATATTGATCCCCCAAAGAAATTGATCTAATTGTACTTTACTCTATTTATAAACAAAAAGTATTTGATTATTGGGGAACAATCAAAATAGGTTTAATGTCGAATGAGAACCAATCACGAAATAAAGCATTGGGTCGAACTCTTCTTTAATATCAAGATGATAGCTATGAATAGTCATCACTCCTACGAAAGGGTAGAAGAATGTGAAAACACATATGCTGCTTTATTGCCGCAATGCCCGTACGGTACCCGGGTTGGTGACTTTTGCTTCCCTAATCGGAACTTAACTATGAGGATAATTTTGTCATTTAGGTGTTTTTATGGCGTTCTTCTTGGATTTTACCAATGAAAGATTAAATAAAGCAGTTTGACCGACGGATTTTCTTTTCATTTTCTCCGCAGCCGGCGGTAGCCTGCAAGAGCCAAAGAGGAAAGAATTTACATCTGCGCTCCACAAACGCCGTATAACACATCTTAACCGTGTATTGAGAACGTCTTCCAATGACAAGTACGAGGATGTTCCTAGTGCACGCTGAGATGTGCTGTGGGGCATTGTGGGGCGCCCAATGTGGGACGCAGCTGTGAACTCAAGAGGAACCGGGAAGCTAACAGTTATTTTTTTTTTTCGTTTCAAAAGCTTCTTCGTAAGTTCGTATTTCTAACAAATTATAAATAAAGTCTAGAAGAGAGAACAGTTATTTTTATTTCTTCCCACCGCTGCCGCTTAGCGTAGGCTTCAAGTTCAAAAGAAGAACGTCGAATCTTTACCTCTCGACAGCTTCAAACAATCTCCTTGCTTTCCCTATTCTCCCTCTCTCTCCCTCGCCCGACGAAGGCCAAGGTACTTCACACTTTACTAAAACTCATTTAAATTACGGGCTTACAACTGTTAGCTGAACTTCATAATCTTCAATGGCTTTGTTTTGAGTGAAATTTCGTAATTCGTGGAGTTATATTTGGTGTTTCTTCGCCGTCTTCTCAATTTCTCCTTCTTGCTCACTTAATTTAGATGTTTTAAGTTCAGCTTACTGAATTCTTGTATAGTGCATATAGATCCGTTCTTTGGCTGCAAATCTTACTTGCTTTTGTGTTGCTTGTTTGAGTTTTTGTTTTTTCCTGTTTCTTTTTTTCTCAAGATTTGTTTGATGTAAGAAACTAAAGGATTCATGATTTTGTGGAATGAATGGTTTGCGGACTGTTTTATTCGTTGTGTTTCAATTCTCTTTCTCCTGATTAAATATTTTTATTTTCCTTAGCCTCTGAACTTTATTTTAGAGGTGCTTTTCCTTCCCGGTCGGCCCAAAGTGGTTACCTCATTATTATGTGCAAATGAAGTGAATTTATCTGCTGGATAACTCAGCTTCTCAGTTTCACTTGTAAGTTTGTTGAGTTAGGGTTTCAAGATATCTTTAAATTATTCACTTAGAGTAATGTGGCTTTGCCATCCGTTTGATGTCTTCCCAAATAGGTGTTCAGTTTCCATCGATTATCGGTTAAATTTTTATTTTCCTCGTGAAACATTTATGCCACCCTCCACTAAGTTGGTTCTCCTTTTGACTTGTTTGTCAAAAATAAAATAAAACATAAACGTTCTCTTTCCTCTATTCAGATTATTTGGGTGCATTATGGATTTTCTGTAGTAAATCATTTGTTTGTGTACTGTTTAGCATCTCTTACTGGGATTGGTTTTGGAAGAGGGTGAGTTGTTAATCTTTTTTTTTTGAAAAAGGTAAGGAAATTTATTCATCATAGAAAAATAACAACAAAACCCAGGCCATAAAGGTTGCTTGGGCCCAAATCAGACTACAATGTCATCCAAGACTGAACAAAACAAAAAAATGCAAATTCTGATGTTTAAACTCCTCCATCACCGACACCCAAGAGAACAACTTGCCCACAGCTCTCTGCACTATTTCATCTGGGCTTTTTGCTTTACAACAGAAAATTCTGTTATTTCTCTCAGTCCAAATGGACCAAAGCACTGCTGCCGGAATGGAATTCCAAACAAGCTTTCCTTTCTTGCTAAGGCCCTCAATTCTCCAACAGTTCAGCAGCTCCTTCATTGAATTTGGCATTACCCAACTAATCTCCAAGGCCTTAAGGAAGTGCCCCCAGACATACGAAGAAATTGGGCAATGGATACACAAGTGCTCAATAGATTCTGCAAGAGTACCACACAAGCCACACGAAAGATCCAGAATCTGAATGCCACGTCTCTCCAGATTAACTCTAGTCAAACATTTATCAAGAGCCATAGTCCAAACCAGAAAATTAATCTTAGAGGGACTAGATGAATTCCAAATCTGCCTAGCAAGGAAATCCTCCTGACCTGGACAATACAGGTTAAGAACCATGGATTTAACAGAGAAACAACCATCTGCATTCCATTTCCAGTTCCATTCATCCTCCAAGCTTAAATCAACCATATGATTTTGAAGCAACCCCAACGGTGCCGCATACTCTTCCACCTCCCAATCAAACAAGCTTCTCCTGCAAAGCGGAGTCCAAATAATGGAATCACCAGAAGCAATAAAATTCTCAGCTATAGAAGAATCCTGATTCACAGAGATTTGGAACAGGAGGGGGAAAGCTTCTTCCAAAGACACCTCTGAACACCAGGGATCCTTCCTAAACTTAATTCTATCCCCATTCCCCACCTTAAATCTGATCCCATCCAAGAAGATAGGAAGATTCTTCAAAATACCTGCCCATAGGGAACTAGCCCCTCTTGATTGAGGCCACTTAGATCTCCAATCACCCCACTCCACCCCATACTTTACTGCAATAAGGTTTCTCCACCATGCATTTCTTTCAGTAGCAAATCTCCATAACCATTTACTAAGAAGAACAGAATTAAATTTTCTTCAAATTTCTTATTCCCAGCCCACCAATTTCCTTTGGGAAACACACTTGTTCCCATTTTACAATATGAATCTTCTTTTCCTCATCCCATCCCCTCCATAAAAAATTTCTCTGGATTTGCTCCAGCCTATTTGCTATTTTGATTGGGATGGGGAAGAGAGGGAGGAAGTAAGTAGGGAGGTTAGAAAGAGTACTCTTAATCAGTGTCACTCTGCCCCCGAATGATAGATATTTTGCCTTCCAAAAAGCCAATTTTCTCTCCATTCTCTCAATAATTGAAACCGAAGTCGCGGAGGAAGAATATTTAGCCCCTAGAGGCAGCCCCAAATACTTAACCGGGAGAGAGTCAGTTTGGCAAGTCATCACTTCTGCACATTCTTCTAAGTTTGGGACAAGACCCACTGGTATGATCTGACTCTTACTCAAATTAACTTTGAAACCAAACACCACTTCAAACCAACTCAGAATCCCAAGCATTGATTCCAACTAAGTCAGAGATGTATCAGCAAAACATAAGGTATCATCTGCAAACTGGGGGATATTAACCTTTTCCTTTCCAGGAGAGATAGCAAATCCATTCCAATGCCCATGATCTGCAGCCTTCTTACTAAAAAGAGTTAGAATTTCCATGACACAAATAAATAGCAAGGGGGAAAGAGGATCTCCCTGCCTCAAACCTCTAGAACTTCCGAAAACCCCGTCGATTGGCCATTAATTAGGATAGAAAATTTTGGGGTCTTAACACATACTCTGATCCAGTTTCTCCATTTCTGCCCAAAATTCATTTTTTCCAGCACCAAATCCATGCAATTCCAGTTGACATGATCGTATGCTTTCTCAATATCAAGTTTACAAATTACACCCGGGGTACCCTCTCTTCTTCTAGAGTCCATCAACTCATTTGCAATGAGAATTGAATCAACCATCTGCCTTCCCAGAACAAATGCACTTTGGTTACTGGAAATTACACTGCCTAGCACACCTTTCATTCTTTCTGCCAAAACTTCAACCAAAATTTTATAGAAGCTGTGCCGAAGACTGATAGGTCTAAAATCCTTAATGTTCACAGCCCCCTCAATCTTTGGAATGAGAGTAATGAATGTAGCATTCAAACTTCTTTGCAGCAATGCATTTGTATGAAACGCCTGGAACACCTTCAGCAAGTCTTTCTTCACAATATCCTAGCATTTTAAGTAAAAAAGGTTTGTAAGGCCATCTGGCCCAGGCGATTTATCGCATTCTAACTTCTTGACTGCTGTCTATATTTCCTCTTCTTTGAAGGGTCTCTCAAGCCAAAGTTTCTGACCTTCATTCAATTGCTTGAAAGGAAGATCAGTAGGAAAAAAGGAAGATCAGTTGTTAATCTAAGTTTGCAGTTGTATCTTCAAAATATTTATATTATTTTGGAGGAGTTCCCCTAATCTCAAATCCAGTGGATTCAGCTATATTCTTTATTTCTTTAGTTCTTATTTGTAGATTTCTTCTTATTAATGATGCATGTGCACCAGGTATCCTATTGTTTAACTAACAGACTATCCTTCATTTTTGTGGCACTTATCTGTTTTTCCCAAATGACCTCTTGTTTACAGGTTATCACAGTGGAACTATATACATCTTTTTTTTGGAGAAGTGTCAAATTGAGACATAGGTTTAGCATGGAAGTCCTCTCATCTGGAAGGATTTTTTTGGATGATGGTTACCTGTAAAATGTAGAAGCTGTATGCACCGAATGGCAGACATTAAAATTTTGAAGATGCCCGTTCATAATTTTGAAGATGTGAAATGATGTTATGTAACTTTTTGTCTAGTTCATTCCCACTGAAGAACAAGGTTTTCTTGCTCCAAACATACTCAACTATCTGTGTTTAGCTGAAAAAAGTGAAATTTCAGGAAATGTACAAGTGGATAGAAAGTGACACAGTATTCACTTACTCTAATCATGAACTCAGTTCCTGTGATATTTAGTTTGGCACATTGAGTAAGAAGCATAATCTATAAAATGAAGAAGTGGTCTGGAGGTCTTCTGATTGCTTCCTTGTTTATGTTGCTGGTTCTTAGGTATGGTGTAATGAAAAATCCTATTGGTGAAAGTTTACTTTCCAGCCCATTCTTTATAAATGCATCTAATTCCCTTGAATGGGTTAATGCTGGAGTTCCACCTGCAACTTTAAATCCTGATAATGCCTCACAAGTAGTTTCTACTGATGCCTTAGTTTCCAGTCTTTTTTCTTGGAGGAATTTCTCTACTGAAGAGCAAAGTTCATTACATACATGGAAACATTTGAACCATTTAATAAATAATGCTGGGACTCTACCTAATGCAATAGAAGCTGTCAAAGAAGCTGGAGTTGCATGGGATAGTCTTATGGTTTCAGTTGAAGAAGAAAAGCATAGTTATTCAAATGAAAGTTCACATCAAAAGGCAAAAGAGAAACAATGTCCTTATTCATTGTATAAAATGAATGCCACTGAATTTGGTGATAGTGGTTTCAAGATACTGATTCCTTGTGGCCTTATTCAAGGTTCTTCTATTACCATTATTGGTACTCCAAATGGCCTTCTTGGGAATTTTCGAATTGATTTAACAGGGACACCGCTTCCAGGTGAGCCAGATCCTCCCATTATATTGCATTACAATGTTCGGCTTCATGGTGATACAATAACTGAAGATCCTGTAATTGTACAAAATACATGGACAATAGCTCATGACTGGGATGAAGAGGAGCGATGTCCGTCCCCTGTTTCTGACAAGAATAAGAAAGGTATGGATATGTGTGCATTATCTCTGGTATTAAATTTTCCTCTTGAACTATATCTATTTTTAAATAGGCTCCACCATATGCATTTGTAGTTCTATAATTTCACTTTTGTTCTTGTTCAGTGCAAACTATTATATAAATCTGTTTTTTGAAATATTGGTGACTCTCTTTTCTTCATCTACCCCTTTGTTTCTTCTGCTTTTTCTTGATGTGCCATTAATCCAGCATTCATGATCATTGAATGAAATCTGGTAATATTATCCTAGAATTGCTTTGGTGTAGCAATGCCTTTTGATAGTTAAAAGTTGAAACTTTCTTTCTTTCTTTTCTTTTTGTTCTTTTTTTTTTTGCCTGTCTGATAAACAATATATTTTCCTTTTTTTCCGGTTGTTGGTTGAAACTACCTTTTGTTGAGGTCTCAATGCAATCCTATGCTGGACCAGCATTGCTGGTATTGTATACAATTTTTTTTTTCAGTCCTATTACGAAATTAATTATTTTATCATGTAACTGATTGTTATTTATATATCAATAAAGCATGTAAATACTCTAAAGGGGTATTTGTGGCATCTTTTCAGGTGCTAAAATTGGCATTTCATAAAGATTAAAATATCATACCCTTATCTGGATAAAAAACTAAGTAATCTGTCGTTGGATATCATACCCCTATTCTTCATTTACGTCCACTCCTCTACCTGTATTTGGGATCATTGGACAAATTTGATTTTGTTTGATAGTTTAAGGTATGCTCTTCTGCTTGTGTATATGCAGATGGTTAACTAGAGAAATGGAAGTAAGGACAGGGTGGGTTAAGCGGAGTGCAAATGCCATAGCTGATACATTAGCTAAGCAAGGGGTGGAGAGAGACTCATTGTTTTGGGCACAATTGTAAGGGCATTGGAGCTTCTTGGAGGAGAGATTAAAGGTTTTATCTCTCTTGAACGTTAACTGTTTTGAACCTTCTGTACTACCACTTTCTGGTCAGATTAACAAAATTGATGTTATTGATCCAAATAAAAAGAGTGCAAATGCTGAACTGAAGCAAATTTATACTCCAGTTAAGTTTGCAGGCATTTTGTAAGAATATGTTTTTGTACTGAAAATGACAACAATTTTTTTGACATGTTTTTCTTTCAAAATGGGAGCAAAGTTGATCAATGTAAGAATGGTAGATTTCAGTCTTGGAATTCGGTGTTTGTACCCATCACAACCAAATATGTTTGGTAAGAATACATAATCTATCATTGCAATACCAAATCGAGTTTGCAATTTCATGAACCATATATATTTGTATTTGTACTGAACGTATTTGCATTTGCACTCCTACCAAACACAACGTTAATTGCAAAAGCTATAATATTCCTAATTTCTGCTATTTGTACTACTAATTCATACTATTCTTTGTACTCTAGATTTTTTTTGACAAGTAAAAAAGAAAATTTATTTCATTTGTGCATTTGTTGGTATTGCAGTTTTTGTTTCCAAAGTGGCATGCTTGAATTTATTTTGTTTCCCATTATGTATGCAATATTGGCTAAAGTGCTATCTAAGCAATTGAAAAAGGTTCTTCCTTCAATCATTTCTCATTTCCAAGGGGCTTTCGTTTAAGAGAGGCAGATTAGTTATCAAATTCTTATTGACAATGAATGTGTTAAGGATTTTAAAAAGTCAGGCAGGAAAGGAATTGCGTGTAAATTGGATTTAGAGAAGGCTTATGATTATGCAGATTGGGAGTTCTTGCTTGAAACTATGGATAAATGGGGCTTTGGTGCAAGGTGGTGCAAATGGATAAGAGGATGCTTGAAGACTGGCCACTTTTCAGTGATGGTGAATGGAAGAGTGGAGGATTTTTTAAGTACCCTAAGAGGAGTGAGGCAAGGGGACCCACTTTCCCCTTCCTGTTTACTCTCATTGTGGAGGTGTTTAGTAGATTAATCTTAAAAGCGGATGAGAGTGGGCTAATAAAGGGATGGAGGATTGGAAGAGACAGGGTAAGAGTGACGCACCTACAATTTGCAGATGACATCATAGTCTTTTGTGAAAATGGGGGAGAGCATGATGCGAGAAATTTGAGATTGTTGGTGAATATCTTTGAGAGAGTGACAAATTTAAAGGTAAATATTTGCAAGAGTTTGGTTATTGGAGTCAATTTGAGTCAATCTAAGACTGAAATTTGGGCTAGGGAGTTAGGGTGTACTTCAAGTGAATGGCCATTTAAATACTTGGGGCTTCTCTTGGGAGCAAATCCTGAAGTGTCATCTTTTGGGGATCCAGTGGTGGAGAAATTTGAAAGGAAATTAGTGGGTTGGAAGAGAAACTGCATCTCTTTGGTAGGTAGGATAAATCTTATTAAATCCACATTGGATAATCTTCCAATTTATTATCTATCAGTCTTTTGCATGCCTTAGGCCATAGTGAAAAAATTGATAAAATAATGAGGGACTTTCTTTGGGAGCCTAGGGAGGATAAGAAAGATCATCTAATTAGATGGAAGGTGGTGTGGAGGAAAGAGTGTGGTGGTCTTGGGCTAGGAAGATTAAAGGAAAAGAATTGGGCTCTGTTAGGGAAATGGCTTTGGAGGTTTCCAAGGGATGGAATAGAGTGATAGTAAGCATTCATGGGCTTTCATAGAACGGCTGGGATGCTGGAATTTCTAATAGGGCCTCTAGTGCTTCTCCTTGGAAGGTTATCCACAAAATTCTTCCAGTTTTTTTGTCCCATGCCAGGTATGATGCCAATTCAGGAAACAAAATCAGATTTTGGGAGGATCTTTGGGTAGGAGAAACTCCTTAAATGGAGTCTTTTCCTTGTTTTCTATCTCATATTTCTTGGTCCATTCCCCTTCTCAGTCTGGGTTTGGTTGGAATTAGGGTTTCCGTAGGAATGTGAAGGATTCTAAGATGGCTCTTGTGTCTCAATTGCTTCTTTTGTTGGATGGAGTCTTTCTAGATAACAGCAGTGGATAGCCAACTATGGATGGGTAATTCCTCCGGTAATTTTACTTGTGTCCTTTTTCAAAATGTTGGTCTCCCCTCTATTACTTCCTATGCCCTTCCTTTATTGTCATCCAATCCCCCCTAAGGTGGGTGCCTTTCTCCAAACTGGTGCAATCAACACACATGATTTATTACAAAGGAGGAGACTTGGTTGGTGCCTTTCTCCAAACTGGTATGTTCTGTGTGAATCAAATGGTGAATATGCTTGTCCTCTTGCTGTTTGTCTTTGGGAATGGTTTTTTTCCTTGATTGGTTGCAGGTGGAATACTCCTGTCAGCTTGGATAGATTGCATGTTCCCTTGACTTTCAACTGGCCATGGAAGAGGGAAAGACTACTTTGAAAGTGCACAAGAGCTGTAGTGGTCTGGGCATTGTGGAAGAAAGAAACAAGAGAATTTTTTTAGGAAAAAAAAGAAGCAAAGAGGCTCTGTTTGAAATCATAATGGTAAAGGTGACACATTGGGTGAAGACAACAAACCTGTTTCTTGATTTCACCTTTGGTAATATTATCAAACAGTGGGGTACAATTGGTTCATCATCTTCAGCAAAGAAGAAACATATGGTAAAATGGGAACCTCCAATGGATGGTTTCTTCAAATTGAATTTTGATGGAAGCTGTATTGGCAATCTGGGTGCTGCTGGAATGGGAGGAGTAATAAGAAATGGCAAAGGAAAATTGGTGTTCTTGTATTCTGGGTCTATAGGGCAAGGGAACTCCACCGGTGCAGAACTAAAGGCATCTGTATTTGAGGTCCAAAAGGCATGGGAGACAGGGCTTAGGAAGTTATTGATTGAAGGCGATTCAAAGGTAATCATAAGCTGGCTGAAAGATAATGACAAAGTCTCATGGTATTTCAGGAGTGAGATTAAGAAGTTTAAAAGATATTCAAAAGATATGCAGGTGATGTTGCAATGGGTCCCTAGATCAGCAAACAGCTTAGCCGATCATTTTGCTAAGCAAGGGGTCAATAGAGGGAATTGTTTTTGGGCTCATTTGTTAACTGTAAGAAAAGGGTGTGCTTCTGTCTTGTGACCATGGGGTAGCCAAGGCTACTCTCTGTATTGTAAAGTTTCTATTTTAATAAAAATAAAATTCTGTTGGTGATAAAAAAAAAATTATGCAATATTTATATAGGAAGTGCTCACATATAGTACATTTTTCTTAAGGCTGTGTTTGGCCCTTCCTTTCCCTACCTTTTCCTTCAAACCAAACACAGCTCAAGTGTCTGATATGTATTAATACAAGTAGAGTGGCAACCAAAACAAACTATTTTGACAAATGTCAGGGCTAAGCCAACTGACTTTCATCATGTATATGCATGTTTGATTTGGTGTGCTCTATGACTGTTCGCCAGCCTCCTTGCCTTGCATTTACCAAGAGGATTTATGGCTACTTTATGATCTTTTTTTTATTCTTTGTGTTGTTTTCTTAGAATAATAATATCTGTCATTATTAATCCTGTGCTTCCTTCCCATGCAGTATATGTTGTCTTTGCTTTTTTTTTTTGTTTTTACTTTTCCCTTTGTGTAATCTATCACAATATCTTTTCCTTTCAGTTGATGAGTTGGACCAGTGCAATGTGATGGTGGGTAAGAATGATAGCTGGAGGTTTATAACCAGCAGATATTCTAATGGTTCAAGCCAGTCCTCAATGGCACAAGATGGATCTAAACCCAGACGATACTTTCCCTTCAAGCAAGGTTATATGTCTGTTTCTACTCTCAGGGTGGGAGCTGAGGGGATCCACATGACAGTAGATGGCAAGCATATAACATCTTTTGCTTATCGTGAAGTAACCTCTCTCTCTCTCTCTCTCTCTCTCTCTCTCTCTCTCTCTCTCTCTCTCTCTCTCTCTCTCTGACTTACTTTATTGCCTTTTTTATAGAATCTAGAACCATGGCTTGTCAGTGAAGTAAGGATAGCTGGAGACATGAAGTTAATTTCTGTCTTAGCTAGTGGTTTACCCACTTCAGAGGATTTGGAGCATATTGTTGATTTAGAATCCCTCAAATCAGCACCTCTGCCCCTCCACAAAACATTGGATCTCTTCATTGGTGTATTCTCCACAGCAAATAATTTCAAGCGTAGGATGGCTGTTCGGAGAACTTGGATGCAGTATCCTGCAGTGCGATTGGGAGCAGTTGCAGTTCGTTTTATTGTGGGTCTGGTGAGTGCCAGTTATACCTTCGTTTATTTTACTATGTTATATGGATATTTTGAAATGGTTGCCATCTTTATGTAATAAAGATCATTGACTACCACTAGAGAATTATTGTAATCGAAACTTGTTCTATAATAGTTATATGCTATATTGAGCTTCTTGCAGCTTTTTCTGTGTTTGTATTTTCCTTAAAAAATATACGCAGATATAAGTTTCTTTTACCATGCACAAATTGACAGTTCCATATGGGTTTGACTAAAGATTTTAGTCTGAAACTGAACATTGGTAACCTTTTTATGTTGCAGCATAAAAACCAGATGGTGAATGAGGAACTCTGGAATGAAGCACGGACATATGGAGACATTCAGCTAATGCCTTTCGTTGACTACTACAACCTTATCACCTGGAAAACCATTGCAATCTGCATTTTTGGTGTAAGTTGTTGTCCCTGTGTAACACTGACGGATTTTGCCTTTGTTTTGCTGGATTCATCTCGTTTAATTTTGAGTCCATGCTTTTTCCTATAACAGACAAAGGTGGTTTCAGCAAAGTATGTTATGAAGACAGATGATGATGCATTTGTCCGTGTGGATGAGGTGCTTGCTTCTTTGAATAGGATCAATGTGGCCAGTGGGTTACTTTATGGTTTAATAAACACAGATTCCAAACCTCATCGGAATACTGACAGCAAATGGTATATTAGCCCAGAGGTAAGTTTCTCCACTACATCTATTGTTTATGTTGGTTGGATATGAATAAAAGAGCAACAATGATAAAATTAGAGATTAATTATTAGACATCTAGTGATGGACTGAGAAGTAATCCAATTTGACTTCTGGAAATCCAGGCATGCATTTGAACTTTTCAACTTTCTGAAGTCATTAACATGGTTGTGTCAAAATTTGCAATTGGATTTACTAGTTAAAATGTGTTGGCACTGCTATCTTGTACAAGACTCCATAAACTTTTCTTTCTCATAATTCCATTCTTGCAAATGTTATGCTAGAAGAGTCTGGTATTAACCTGGTTGCCTGTAGGGTTTTGAATCGGATTTCTATCTGACTGAATGTTAATCATCATTTGTTACTATTCCTTGTATCTATTTGTTACTCAAATACCTTATCTTATGATTCTTATCTTTCCCTCTTGTCTGTGTTTGTGAAGGAATGGCCAGAAGAAACTTATCCCCCTTGGGCACATGGTCCTGGTTATGTTGTGTCACAAGACGTAGCAAAATCAGTCTACAAGAGACACAAAAAAGGCCGTTTAAAGGTATACTAAATGTGCTTTGGATTTGTATTATTTTATGTGACTTTGGTTCATCCAAAATGTGCAATATGCATGTAGTTGGAAACCTCCAACCCTTGCCTTCATGCTTTCAAGCAAGAATTGAAAGTCAAAACGGTGAATCCACCAAAATAAGTGAGAGTTGGAACTATAAAATTTTTTAAATCTTATAGTAATTCTGGACCCATATTGTATTTAAAAAGTTCAAGAAAATGAGGCTAATATGCATATCAAAATATGGGAAGCACGTGAGCATGGGCTGATGTGGACAAGGTACAAGCTACCAAGAGGTACCTCATGAATGTGGACTGGCATACATTTGTAGCTTGTCTCAACAGTAGGAGTAGTAGGAGTAATGTTTTGCCTCATTTTTTAGATATCTGAAGATATCCAATGCTTGAGCATACTCGTTCATCCATCATGAAACAGATGTCTAAATTTGCTATTGGTACCTTTCCATGTGAAGTATCACTGCTTGAAGGCAAAAGCAGTAGAGCAGAACAGTTTTCACCCAAAAGCTTTTACAAATATATAATATTGAGTTAGCTTGATTGATGTTATTGACTGTTCATTGGTGGGATGACTCTTGGGTAAGGCATTGCAGACAATTATAAATTATGTTTTAGTAGAGAAGACAATTTATGGACATCTTTTCCTTGTTATGTCAAGAGAACCAAGGTTTGTTGAGGATAGGATCATTTGGCTCCTTGAATCTGTTAGTGCTTGCATGCGTTTTTGAAGCTTCATTGTTGGGCTATGCCTGCATGTTGAAGTGTGATGGGAAATATTTGGTGACATACACATTAATGATAAATAATCATCTAGACCTGCTTGGGAAATATTAAATTGGGTCCTTTTGTACTTGCATATTATTTGCAAATTATACATCAAACCCTAAAATTACAGTTCCTTGATGTGGCAGATGTTTAAGCTGGAGGATGTGGCAATGGGCATCTGGATTGCAGAGATGAAGAAGGGAGGATTGGAGGTCAGGTACGAAAAGGAAGAGAGGATCTACAATGAAGGGTGCAAAGATGGTTACATCGTTGCTCACTACCAAGGCCCCAGGGAGATGTTATGCCTGTGGCAGAAATTGCAAGAGGGAAAAGAAGCTAAATGCTGTGGAGATCGATAAACAGAGAGCTATATTAGTAGTTGGGCTTTAGAGCGAGTAAAACATTAGGTGGATTAACTAATATCGTAGACTCGTAGTAGAAGATCCAACTAACTCGAGTTGTACACAGGCTAATAGAACCACCGGGGGGAGGGGAAGGAGGGGAGGCGGATAATTAGGACTTTCTTATACAGTACACATGATTCTATAGTTCGTTTTTAGATGCTGCGGCTTTCATACAATTGATATAGAGGAGCTGGCACTTCACTTGTAATTAAAAAGAGAGAGAGATGGTTGTGTATAGTATAGCCAAATAGTCAATAGTGTATAATTGTATATTCTCCTTCTGCTAGGGAAATTATTTTATTGCACGTTTATCAAAGGCTTAGCTGTATTCTTTGATTTAATTTGCTTATGGGATGTTTGGGGCGTGTTACCCCGTATTCTTTCTAAATTTTATGCAGTGACAAGTCATGCATTCTTTATATCCTTGTTGTGATAATGAGTTGGGATCTTCTGGCAATAGAACACCTTCCAACCCCTTAATAACTTGATCTAACACCTCACATTTCACCATGAGACTGGAACCCACCCTAAAAATGGGACCTACCATATATATGTGTGGTGTTAGATCAAGTTGGTAGAAAGTTGGAAGGTGTTTTCTTGGCAGGTGATCCGGACTCTGATAATTTACTTCTATCTGTTCCAGTGTTACTTTTATAAGTTGAGTTGAAATCAGTCCCTCACAAGATAATTTTCTACAACATCCCACAGTATATTTTCACCGTGTATTGGGAATATTTCTCGATGATGCTTCATCATTTTTGGTACTATCAATGGGAGATATTTCCAATATACGGTGGGAATGTGCTGTGGGATATTGTGGGGGGCTGATTTGAATTCGTATAAGTTGCTGTACAACGAACATGGAGCACTAAATGCAACGGCCTTGGGGGTGAAATCTTTGAGCCTTTCAACTTGTAATTTAATGGGCAGTCGGCTATATGGATGGGTGACGACCAATGTTTTAAAAACCGACCCAGAGTCAAACTGTTTTTGCCTCCGAGTTGCAGATCACCTGGTCACTGGGTTGAATGGTTTAACGGTCGAGTCGATCAGGTCAAATGGTTCTTAACCAAGTCAACGGTTTTTTACTATATGACACGTCTTGACTGAAGCAGACCTAGAATCCTGACTGAGTGATGGTTCAAACAGTTTGACCGACCGGATCAATGGCGGATTGAAAACATTGGTGATGACAAACGGTAAGAGGAGCTCCAACTCTAATACGACCAAAGACAAATTAAAAGTGTCAGCTAGCTTGCTGGTGGTTCTCTGCCTGGTCGTAGCAGAGACTAAAAAGGAATCCCGTCTTCACCGGAGTTGGGGGGCTAGCCCACCATTTGCTGATTTACCTACCTAAAGCAAGACGAGAATCAGCCAATCAGGAACTGCTATTTAGCTGGGGCACATTTGGCAAGATCAGAGGACGAGTAGTCGAGCACCCACTCTAAAAGTGTGCCTACTATTTAAATGACCAATCCCTATTTTAACGTTAAAATGATAATGGTCGACGTATATATCCATCAGGTGATGGCAATTATGATGGTGCGAAGAAGAGATGGTGTTTGCCTCTGTTTAAGTCCAACTAATGGGAGTGACGTATGTACAAGGAGAAAACGCCGTAAGTTAATCTGAAGAAGGCCATCTTATTTTGTTCCGCTTTCCTGTTGGATATTGGCAATTTGGCATCATGTGTTTTGGCTCTTCTACTCTGCCGGTGCATGCTCTGGGTCACTTATATTAGTATTAGCAACTAGCAAGAGGAAATGAGAAAAGTTGCATTTAAATACTAGTTAAAATAGGAAACGAGTTGAGTGGATTAGTACCGAATCAATTCTATTCTACTGTGGTTCCGTGTATACGTGGGAAGCAAACTCAGTTGTGAAGCATTACTCAGTATTCCACGCCAATGCACATAGGAATCATCATGTCTCTTTGTAGTGAGTGCATGCACGGTGCATTTTTTTTACATTTCACATCCTCGACAGACCCTTTTATCTAAAAATTACTTTTCATTACCATTAACAGAAGTTGTCCGTCTAAGCCAATAAGCATTTTTAGTGACCAAAGTAATCCTGAAAAGACTAGTCAACCCGGTCCCTTGCTGTTTTGGAAGATGACTAAATAAGGATATTTTTGACGATTTTACGTATTTTAACATTTAATAGAAGGATATTATCAATGTTTTCAACCCACCATTGAATCAGCTGGTCGAACCGTTGGAATCGTCACCCAATCAGGATTCCTGATCCAGTTCACTCAAGACCTACTAGACGGTCAAAAACCATTGACTTAATCAAGAACCACTTGACCCAGAGAGTTCAACCATTGACCCATTCGACCTGGTGACTGAATCGCAAGTTGCACACTCAATGTATACAACTTTTGGAGGCTATGACTTTGCACTACGATGTCTAATTCAGGTGATTTTTTTATTTTGGATAACTTTTCAAGATCTATGTGTCCCAAGGAGTCATAAGCGCCTTGACCCGCTACTTTCGCAAAAAAAAAGCTTTTTTGACCTCAAATTACAATTTTTAATATTTTTTATAAATAAAAATTAAAAACTGAATTAAAAAGAATTAATTAAATATAAAATAATACATATAACATATCTAAAATATATTTATACATTGTTTATTGATAATTAACATTTTTTTTCTAATCCAGCCTTCTCAAAATGCTCCTCACACCAACCTAAGGAGCATCTCCCATACTTGTTTGCTTTTATTATGGGAAATGTTCTCACGGTGGAATGTGCTATGCGGCCGGTGTGAAGTGCCGTTTGTGAGTAGAAAATAAAATTCCGATTTTAAAAAGTTTGGAAAATAGCTATCTTATTCAAGGCCAGGATAATGGAACGGTATCACTGAAAGAACTTTGACCAACGGACGCCTCCTCTTAAATTTTGATTTTGATGAGTACCAGTCTACCAGATGATTGGTCACCACTTTTATGATGCTGACTGATTGGTTACAAGTTTATCAGGCATCATTCCTTTCTGGTTTCATAATTATAAATTATGTATGTATTAGAGATTATACGTGCAATTAGTTTTCAAGCCCTATCGAAACCCAGCTAAACACAGGTGTTCAAGCCCAAATGTGATATGCGTCTGGAACCACGGGAGTTGAGAGAAGATCGGCCTGCTGCCCTGCTCAATCCAAGGATTCTCCAGTGGAAGTGTGGATAAAGATAAGAAATTATAGTCTAAATCAATCATATCTATTTGATTACTTTTGTATATCTTATACGGTTAAAGATAGATCATGCCACTAGTTGAATCTTAGTAAATACAACATATGACTCATCAAGGGGTGTGTTCTAGAAAAGGATGCTTTTTGTTTTTATTTGTTTTTGAAATCGCCAACCCAACTGTGTTTGGGAGTCTAGAGAGCTTTGCTTTGGGAACAAGACAATATGAATGCAAGGAAGACCGGTAACAACGCGAAGGTGAATGGTTGCTTACTTGCTTTGGCCTCTAGAGATGAAGAGATCTGCAGCAGATGAAAGCATTTGTACTGGGTCCAATGTTGCATAGCAACAACAGAGCCTTAATTGAAATGCAAATCCACTAAATACGTAGACTGCATGCACATCTAGGTGAAACCGTGAAAGCTTAGCGTGGCAGGAATCCATGACGGGAAATTGCAATCTCAAAAGCTTGGATCCTATCCCCTCGAGCAAAACCATTGCGATCATAAGATGATATTTCATTAATGTTGTGAGCAATACATGCTTTAACTAGCTCTTCACCAACTCTTTGAGCAGCTTCCTGAGATTAAATCAAATATGAAAAAAGATGAGAATTCAATAGCATAGTGTTACATAGGTGTCTCTAAGATAAAGGAGAAACAAAAGGAGGGTTGATAACCACATGGTAATGCACTAATGCTACAACAACTATTAAGATAGGCTTCATGGGTCCACACGAACATGTAAACCAAATCAATAATTAAATGAACCCCTAACAGTGAATTAGGTTACAAAGCCCTCATCGTCATTATGTTTCTTGTTGTGCCAGAAACCAGAAAATCATGAAAAAAGAAGAAAAAGGAGAAACATTAGTACAGAAAACATACAAGATTTAACATGGCTTGGCAATTTGTTCCCACGTCCACAAATGGACATTTCCTAAACTTAAATATTCTCAATTCAACAAAATTTATGACCTTAGCACAAAAGCTAGTTTTTATCATTGAATTAGCTTCTATTCCAAATTTGAGTGCAAATATTTATGCAGTACAACTGTACAATAAATATTGAAAATAAAATACTCCTGTGCAACGGGGCAGAAACATCACCCCACTAGACCCTGTTTTGCTTGTAACAGAACCCTTGGAATGGAGAATATTCGTTTGTCATTGATATATATATAGTAGTGGCAAGCATATGGACGGTTAAGCAAAATAAAGATGAAGGAATATGTCCACATTTATGAAGTTCCTTCGTTTAACTGGGATCCAGGAGAAGTATCTGATGCTACCTTGCCAAAAGTGGTTAGTTCAACTTAAAATGCGTGCATTTGTGGTACCACAGTCCCTGGGGCACAGCTCAGATCTGTAATCAATTTTTAATTACTCTTTAATTTGAACCATTATGGGAAGAGGTAAAGGAAGAAAGGATCAATTACATTGTTGGATGTATTCTCTGAAGATATTTTTCTCGGTGATATTCTTTGACAAAATTTTAATTCAAGTTGTTTTATCTAGTAGAACATATTTTATTCCAGGTTAACTAAGGATGCTGCCAAACATAATCATGCGAGTAGTGTAGGTATATGTAAACCAACCTATGTTTATCATTTCTTTACAAAAAGTTTCATTTACCAATTATATATAAAAAGGGAAACCACCCAGCGTTGACTATCCAGGGTCTCGGGAGAGGTGAACTGGATATGGAGCTAACCTTTCGGCATTTTATTTTTATTTCCTTTTTTTTGCATAAAGTGGTAGCTACCAGACTTTCTCACACCTGTCAGCCCGAGATTTTACCATTGCACCAAGCAATGGCCCCTAGCTACCACTTTTAGTTGAATTGTTAGTTTGAGGATGCATTTTGCTTGATGGATAGGAAAACAGATAGATCAAAATGAAACACTTACAATGGTGCTAGAGGAGGCATTCTCTCGGATGGGATTTTGTAGTGTGCTTCCGTAAAATAAACACTTCTTGTTCTGATCATCAACTAGCATAGCATACAACTGCTTGGCCGAACAGAAAACTGAGAGCCTTGGTCTCACAGACGATCCATTAAACTGTGTTGACACATGGGAAGCATTAAATGGATCATGAAACATAATCCAGTCACAAGAAACCAAGGCCAAGTGACCATGACATTAAAAATGACATGCATGCAAGCAGATGGTACAACTGTACAATGTAATTGGTCAAAATAGATTACCACAGGTGCCTTAAAGAACCAGTTTAATGGGTCCAAMATATCAAAATCAAGGGGTAGGGATAAGCAWAAATATATTAAAAATAAGAGAACAAAAAAACAAAGATGCCTTCAATCTGATATTCTGAGCAACCAAACAACAAGAATACAATCAAAGAAGAAGGTGCCAACCGACTCAGTTGGTAAGGTCTCTGGCTGGTTGTACAACACACACCCAATCGAGGAAGATTTCTAGAATCATACAGCCTGTGATTATCAGAGTGAGGACAAGACTTACTTTCCTTTGTAATCTCCTGTTTCGGACTTTGGCATTTTCCTTCCTAGTATTTGCCTTTGCTTCAATTACCAAATGCTTCACAGAGTAATCTGAGCAGTTATAAGGAAAATAAGTCAACCAATAGGTAAACCAGAGGAAGAAACATTCAAAGGAGAAAGAAAAATGTTACTTGATCTATGTAGTTCTTATATTCATTTGTTCTTTTGTGGATTTGCGACAGATTTGAATAGAGATTGCAAATAGCATGACTTTTGTGAAGTTGTCTGATTAAAACTCTGTAAAAATTCTGATATGCAAGCTTAAATAAAAAACACTCAAGAGTGAAGAACGAAATTGCTCAGGTCCACTTACTTTGATTTGGTATGGGGAGGCAGATAGGATTTGGACAGGTATGGAGGAAGCCCATGACCCCGAACTGTATCGGATTGACTGTCACAAGAGACATTTTGGTTTACTCCTTGAATGAAAGAACCCTCAAATGAGCTTGATGTTGAGAAGATAACTTGGATCCTCCCTGAAAATGGCATTTTGGCAGGTTAAGATAGTTTGATTTAGGAATTATATCAAACCACTAGTATACAGCTCCAAAGCACATATGAACACATCTTCATGCAAGAAGAATCATAATGTAAATCACTGCACAGAAAGAACAGCTTCGTTATACTCTATGGATCAGCTAACTTCAACATATCAAAGCATATAAAAGAAAAGGTAATTTAAATACATTTGAAACAGCGTTGCTAATTCTAAATTCCTCATCAAAGAAGGCCATTGTAAACTCGTATTATGGAACAAAGAAACTCTAATGAAGTTTCTCTGAGGCAATTGATCGAACATTCAATGAGTACACCTTTAAGAGAAACCTTTTCCAATGAACTGAACGAGTGTAAGAGACCTGAAACAACTTTGCTACACTTAACGTTGCACAAGCCAAAATGGTTAAATAGATTTTAGATAAATGCGTTGACAAAGAGAAATCACCACCATTATACTACTGATGACATATATTTCATGACTCGTCGTCTAAGCCAATATGTTTCGCACGATTCAGGCTTCGGCTTTATCTCAGCCTTCTCACAGACACCGAACTTTCTTGGATCTTAAGCTGAATATGTTAATGGAATTGTATACCACAGAGATCCACGAGTTTGAGGAAACTAATATTAGTCACACTTCTCATAAAACATAATGCCAAAACAGAGACCTTTGCCAGTGGAGAGGCAACAAAAAATTCCTCCCACCCATCCATCTTCAAATGCCCATCAGCGGAATTAAGGGTGTGTTTGTTTTTCGTGAAATGAAGGGGCATCACGGGGCTAGCCGTTGGGGCCCCGTGCGGCACTCCGTGTGTGTCGAGTAAGCCTACAAAACAAAGAAATAGCACAACAAAGGCAACAAAGATGGCACACGAATTAGAAAAAGGTACTATTGTATTGCAATAGATGGAAAGCACAAGCACACAAGTTTGTGTTGAGGGGCCCACGTGCTTAACCTTTACACGGTCTTGGCACCACTCAACTACCTACCTCCCCTCAAAGAGTAAGTTAAGCTTTTGGTGCTCTAACAAAATATTACATCAAAATGTTGAAAAATCATACTACATAATTACAATAATGCCATGGGCATTCCCCCATACAAAATACGTGTAACCCCACCCAAAACACACTTGATGACGCTCTGATGGCATGTCGCAAGCATGGTGAAGGCACTTGATGGTGCGAAAAAAAGTGGTCACTCGTGACAGTCTCCCCACTCAATTCGGTCTTCGTCCTCAAAGACCTACTCCTGCCTACGGCTTGAGTCTTGTTTGTAGTGAAGGGGAATTCTTCAACTGGTCCACAAACTTCACTTCCAAGACCCGAGCATGAACTTGGGTGGTATGGATGAGGCGGCTTGCTAGGTTTGGGAATCCTATGGCTAAATGCAATAACTGCTTTTGGGTTACTAGAACGGAAGCACGTGACCATATTATATGTGAAGGATTTAGTAGTCATTACACTCATTGGACATTTCATGGAGAAGAGAGAGCTTTTATTATGCCTGAATCTGATAATACATTGAACGATGATTCAAGTATAGATGATGATATGCATGAGTTATTGCTTCATGCAATTGGGTTCTCTTACTCTGGTGATAAAGGAGGTGGTACGGAGGATGGACCTAGATGTGGCCATGATGTTGAGAAGTTTTTTAAGTTATTGGAAGGTGCCAATAAGGAATTATATCCTGGTTGCAAGAAGTTCACCAAACTATCATTCATTAGTCGATTATATCATATAAAGTGCCTTTCTGGATGGAGTAATAAATCATTCACAATGTTGTTTGAGTTGTTGAAAGAGGCACTCCCTATTGATGAATCTTTACCAAACTCCTTCTATGAAACCAAAAAGATCATAGCTCACTTGGGACTCAAATATCATAAAATTGATGCTTGTAAAAATAATTGTATGTTGTTTTGGAAAGAGACTATCAATGACCAGTCATGTTCTAAATGTGGTGCTTCTAGATGGAAAGATGATGATGAGACATCTCCATCTTCAAAGAATAAAAAAATTCCACAAAAGATATTGCGTTATTTTCCATTAAAACCAAGGCTTCAAAGGCTATTCATGTCAAAAAGTACATCTTCTCTCATGCGATGGCATAAGGAGGGCCGCACCAAAGATGGAGCGTTAAGGCATCCTGCTGACTCCCTAGCTTGGAAGACTTTTGACATTCATCATCCAGATTTTGCTTCAAATAGCCGTAATGTTAGACTTGGGTTGGCAGCAGATGGTTTCAATCCATTTAGGACGACGAGTATTTCGCATAGCACATGGCCTGTTATTTTGGTGCCATATAATTTACCACCATGGTTGTGTATGAAACAACCATACTTCATCCTCTACTTACTTATCCCTGGTCTTTCTGCACTAGGTGATAGCATTGATATATACTTACAACCTTTGATAGAGGACTTGAAGGAATTATGAAATATTGGGGTGGACACCTATGATGCATTAACCAATGAGATATTTCCATTGCATGCGGCTGTGTTATGGATTATTAACGACTTCCTTGTGTATGCCAATCTATCTGGATGGAGCACTAAGGGGTGTTATGCCTGTCCTTGTTGCAACAAGCACATTAATTCTAAGTACTTGGACAATGGCCTTAAATTCTGTTTCATGGGTCATCGGCGATTCCTACCATTTGACCATAGGTTCCGAAAAGATAGGAGATCTTTTAATGGCAAAGTGGAATTAAGAGATGCACCACCTATATTGCATGAGTTTGAGATTCTAGTCCAATTGGAGGGCATTATTAACAATTTTGGGGGAAAAAATTCTGGCATTACTAGTAAAAAGAGGCGACGTGATGATAATGATGATGGTAGTGGTGATGATAATGAGAAAGAGTACTATAATTGGAAGAAAAAAAAGCATATTTTTTGAGTTGCCATACTGGAAGGACAATCTATTGCGCCACAATTTGGATGTGATGCATATTGAAAAGAATGTGTGTGATAGTATTATTGCAACATTGTTGAAAAGCATATTTTTTTAGTAGACTATCAATGTGTGGCATGAGGGCTGCTTCTATCTGTGTGAGAAACTCCATTTCAAGGGCAACCTGAAAATCATCCAAAGATACCACAAATAGGTTGATGATTCCCTTCCATGGCCCAACTTGGAGCTCTACTCCACGAGCCATGCCTTCTACTGCCTTGGCCCCTAAGTTGACTGCCTTGATCCAAGCTATTTGTTTGGTGGTGGTCAAACCGAGTCGTTGTGCCTTAGCGAGTGAGATAAAATTGTGAGTGGCCCCAATATCTACCAAGGCTTGAGTCGCCTCCTATCAAGGGTGATGTCTACATACTTTAGCCCCTTGTGGGCTTTGTTAGGCCGTTTGGGTGTGGCATCTTTCTTGACCATGGCATTGATGAGCTAGTGAGCGCCTACTCTTGGCATTGGTGTAGGTTTCTCCTCATCACTCTCCTCACTATCACTAAATTTGGCAATGAAGGCATTGACCTTCTTCCGCATGGGACACTCACTTATCTAATGCATTTCATTGCAAATGAAGCAAGGTGCATGAGGTGTGGTGGGTCTCTTGGTGTATTTGTAGCCGTGGGAGTTATTAGTTTCTTGTGGCTTCTTTCCTTGTTGTTGATAAGCTGGCTTGTTGGGGTAAGGCTGCTTTTCTTTGATGGGAGTTGACTGCGGGTCTCCCCTACTCAAGCTTGTGGTACATGGGCTAGGTGGCAAGTGGTCCGCTTCATCGGGCTTCTTCAAATCAACAAGTTGTTCGGCTACAACCATGGCGGTTGCAAGGTCTTTCACCCTTGTCGTTGTAACTCAAGCTCGGCCCATGGATTGAGCCCATCCATGAAGTTGAACAAGAGATCCTTGTCTGACATGTCTGAGATCTTAAGTGTCAAGACTGAGAATTCTTGGACATAGTCATCCAATGAGTCCTTGTGCATCAAGTTCTTCATCTACCTTCATGCAAGGTACTCAACGTTCTCGGGGTAAATTTGGCATTTGATCTCCCACTTAAAGTCGGCACAGATATTGATGGTGCATGTGTCGCGGTCAATGTCCTAACAACACCTATGCCACCATAACATTACAATATCATTCAAATACATTGTACCTGTATGTACCTGGATTTGCTCATCATGGATGCTAGTGGCGGAGAAGTATTATTCAAGTTGCCACAAGAAATTGCCTAGCTCACGAGCATCCCGAGTATCATAGTTTTCAAGGCGCCAAGGCGAGGCTAGGCAACTTGCCATTAGAGCCCCATCAAGTGTGTCTTGGGTGGGGTTACACATGTATCTTGTATGGGGTAATGCCCATGGCATTATTGTAATTATGTAGTATGATTTTTCAACATTTTGATGTAATATTTTGTTAGAGCACCAAAAGTTGACTTACTCTTTGAGGGGAGGTACGTAATTGAGTGATGCCAAGACCGTGTAAAGGTTAAGCACGAGGTCCTCTCGACACAAACTTGTGTGCTTGTGCTTGCCATCTATTGCAATACAACAATGCCTTTTTCTAATTCGCGTGCCATCTTTGTTGCCTTTGTTGTGCTATTTCTTTGTTTCGTAGGCTTACTCGACACACACCGAGTGCCGCATGGGGCCCCAACGACTAGCCTTGTGACGGTTGGTATTAGAGCAGGAGCTCCTTCACATATTGGACCCTGTCGATCACCCCTCAATTAGCACAAACAATGAAGAGCAACCGCGACATCGTTGACTACATATTGCTTGGGTTGTCTAAAGGCCACGTTACCGATGAAGCACCAATTGATGTACCTTCCAAAGATCATGCCCCAAAGGGCCACAACAAAAACAAGCAAGCGGGACAAATCCGTTGATCATTCTCAAGCATGGACATGCGCATCCTACTTTGCTAGTAGGTGAGATCCAAGACTAGGTTGAAGAACTCCACCTCAACATGGAGACAATGGAGAATGTTGTGGTGGAGCTAGAAGGATGATTCAATGGTGACTTCAGAGAGATCT